CTTTGAAGAAATTAAAGCTTTGCAAGTGTTGCAAGTAGCCCCGGTAACATCTTTTCTTGTGAAATACAGCCAAACTCTGGAGTGATTTTGCCTCAAAGCCATGCTGAAAAGTTCTGGACGAAAACACACTTCTCACGAACTATGTCATCCTGCATAGAGGAACCGATACGCAGAAAAGGAGGCAGACAAACAATTCATAGGAATCGAATCACTGGGAACAGGTTCTGAAAAAAGATACCGTTATTGATTCTCACACGTGGGTGGCCTTCACACTCATCTGGGTGAGGACATTAAAAAGATGCAGATGGGGGGGGATAAGATGGTTGCATTAAGAGTGGTTGAATGATCTTAAGCCAGCTCTCAGTCAGCTGACAGCTTAGGTGATCGCCCTCTACACATCCTATTGGCTAATGTCAAAATGGCGCCCCATTTAAATTGCTTTTCCTGCCTACTCAGCCTGCTGCAACCACTCTGCAAGGCTGCATCCACTCTGCAAGCTTTCACTCATGAGAACACTCAGATCTGTGTTTTTGCTTTTCCTACCTTGCCCTTCTCTTAATCTGCGGAGCCAAATCCTCACAGGTAGTGATGTCAATCTTGTAAAAATCTTGCTGTGCTCTGACTACATTGATAGATGCATTGTGGTTTGCAGAGATGTGTCTCTGATGCTTAAAGACAGTGATCCCCGGCTGTTTAAATCTCCAACCTTGGCTGAATTCATGTAGCTTCTGGCATATTTGGAGATGTCATACGTGTTTTTCAGCATGCAGAACTGAATTGGACACATACCTCGCCATCATTTCTGATTAAGCCATGACTTATGGAAGAATATTATTCGAGTAATATCACAAATCATTTTCAGCAAAGCTGCTATGTACATTCAAAGATTCAACTAGAGACTTGATTAGTCTGTAGTCGACCTGGCTCTAATCAGTAGACATTTCACTGGGTATCAAGCTTTTTCCTGCTGAATCTGCGGGTCTTTCTTTCACACCCAGAGGTGAAAGTAAGCCAGTAAGCCGGTATGCAGCAGTACACAGCGTTACTCTGGTAAGGTGGTTAAATGCAGTTGAGCCCCCCCAATAAAATAACAGGGAAAATGTCTTACCTTCACTCTTGTGTCTAAAACAGTCAGCATTATCAGTCATCCAGCTCCAACAGGTAAATAATATACCAATACTATTCCCGTTTACATCCTGTTTGAATCCCGTTTACAACCTCGCAGTTAGCGTCTCATCCATTCACATGAAAAATTAAAGTTTTTAGCGCTGTCTCTGGTCAGCTGGCTTGGTTGTTTATTTCCTGGTCTTCAACCATCGGGACACGGAACCCATTTCTGTTCCGACGCGTTGAGTTAGTCACAGCCTGTCTGGACCTGTGGTCTGGACTCCGTACCAGGTCCAGTGATGCTCCTGCTGTCGGTCTCTATCAAGACACCTGAAGCTAAAGCGAGCTAAACCTTTTTTCACACAATGCAAATGGATGAAATGCGCTGACCACAAGAAACAGGATGTGAATAATATCCGTGAGTTATTAAACTGTTGGAGCTGGATGACTGATAATGCTGACTGTTTTAGACTCCAGAGTGAAGGTAAGAAATACTTCCTGAAGGTTTGATCAGTTGTGTCTCTGCTCGGATGTGTGGTGGACAGAGTTTAGGACATTTTATATTTTTTTAGGTCACGTTTCCTCTGTTATTTTATGTCAGATCTCCGTTAAACTGTGGTGTGGTGTGATGAGCTCCTGTGAAAGGGCTGTAGCTTTGTAAACACAGGTGGGTCTGTGTGGATGAGAGGTGTAACAATTTGAATTCAGAATAAATGTCCAAAATTAATCAAATTAAATTATGACATTTATGGGCACCACCCACCTTTCTGGTGGGAAAAAGACGAAACAAAGTTCAATTGAGTAATCAAACGTTGAATCAGTCTTTACCAGATTTAAATCAATCTCTCATCTGAGGCCGGAATTTTCCATTCAGGGACTTTCTGGAAGGACCACTAAGAGACGACAACTTAAAATTAAATGGACAATTTATTAACAAGCTATATGATAACAAAACGTCAATAAATGATGATCAAATAATGAGAAAATTAAAGAACATCTAATGAATAATGAAGGAATGGTTTGAACTGAACCTAAGACCGGAGGTTAATGATAGTGAGTGAGTAAGAGAAAATTTAACCTACGTTAACGGAGTTACGAGGGTAAATTTTAAAGAGGAATTTTGGAGAACTAAACTATAACTAGGAAAATAAGCTACTGAACGCTTGACGACATCACCCAGTTGATACAGCAGTTTCGAGGAGTTTGCCTACTTTGGATGTTGGTACTCAGCGGCATGGATCAGCTGAACTTCTGTGGCTACTAGACTGGATGCTGAAGGTTCGGCAAGGAGTTCTCCGCCGTGAATTGTCTCAGGCTTCAGGACCGTGTCAGCGCCGTTAGATACTTCAGTTCTCTTGGCCTCTCGGAACCAGGTGGCAAACGCAGCTCGGCAGATGATGCTGGTCGGTCCTCCGGGCATTCAGGACTAGCTTTATTGAAGATTAATTCACGCCAATAACTTAAGAAAATGATTTTGCTGGCCAGCCGATATTATCTTCAGGATTCACTTTAGGGAACAAAAAATAAAATAAAAGGCTTAGACTGAGGTTCTCTATGCGCGCAGCTAATTACTGATGCTTTAAAGAAACCTGGCCATGGTTTCATCCAAGTTTCTGGAAAAGTCTGAGCTTAAGGCAAATAATAAAAACGCGGAGAAAAATTGCAAGACAATGGACGGAGACAAAAGAACAAGACAAGAAAGAACTCAAGAACTAAGAAGAACAAAGAAGCCAAGGGCGGCAAAAGCTCAACTCTTTTAAGCAGTTCACGTGGGGCGTGAACCAAAAGAGGGGGGGAACACTTATGCAATCGTTGTTCCCCATGCAGCCCGTAAACTGGCAGCGAATTAAACGTAACTTGATATTAAAAGCGAGCTAGATCTAATTTACTCCCTCACTATGATTAAAGCCATTTATAAAATCACATACGATCACATTTCACTTCATTGTTTCTTATGAGCAGATGCATTAAAACATAACATTTAACGAAAAGTCAACTTTGATCAGCTGTTTTCTCGATAATCTATAACAGAGGATTAACGCCTTGAAAGTTAGAGAGGGACAGAAAACCAAATTATCTATTGGAACAGAAACACTGTCCAGCATAAGAAACACATACGTGATGATACTTGATAACAATATAACCTTGTCAATCGATACTTCATAAATGATTAACATATATATTCAGGTAAGGTAGATAAAAACATAGTATTTATACATTCAAAAACTCTTAACTTGAGTATAAAAGAGTTTGGTCCATATTGACATGATGGCATCACACAGTTGCCGCAGATTTGTCGGCTGCACATCCATGATGCGAATCTCCCGTTCCACCACATCCCAAAGATGCTCTATTGGATTGAGATCTGGTGACTGTGGAGGCCATTTGAGTACAGTGAACTCATTGTCATGTTCAAGACACCAGTCTGAGATGATTCCAGCTTTATGACATGGCGCATTATCCTGCTGAAAGTAGCCATCAGAAGTTGGGTACATTGTGGTCATAAAGGGATGGACATGGTCAGCAACAATACTCAGGTAGGCTGTGGCGTTGCAACGATGCTCAATTGGTACCAAGGGGCCCAAAGAGTGCCAAGAAAATATTCCCCACACCATGACACCACCACCACCAGCCTGAACCGTTGATACGAGGCAGGATGGATCCATGCTTTCATGTTGTTGACGCCAAATTCTGACCCTACCATCCGAATGTTGCAGCAGAAATCGAGACTCATCAGACCAGGCTATATGTGGGGTTTTTTGAACAGAAGTTTGTTTTTAACCCAGATTTAAACCCTTTCAGTCAAAAAATCCTTAAATGGTATTGTTACCTAGATGATGTTTTCTGTTTATTTCAAGGAACAAGTGAAGAACTGTCTGCGTTTGGTACATATCTGAATAGCTGTAATCCTGATTTAAAATTTACTCTAGAATATAACCAATCATGTGTATCTTTCCTAGATATATGGATTTAGGTAATGGGAGTCTGACTACCACCTTATACAAGAAAGAAACTGACCGTAATACTTTTCTTTTAGCCACCAGCGCCCACCCTAGAGCTTTAAAGAATGGCCTGCCTAAATGCCAATTCTATAGGCTAAGAAGACTCTGCCACTCTGACAACGACTTCATTGAGAAGGCAGTAGAACTGAGACAGCAGTTTCTAGAACAGGGCTATACTGCTCAGTGTGTGGATGAAGCATATCATAATGCTTTTTCTAAGTCCAGAGTTGACCTCTTGAAAAAAAGTGTAAAAAAAGAAAACGTTTTTTCAGTCTCTTGTATTACCACCTACACTCCTCAGGCCCACATCATCAAAAAAAACATTAAGAAACATTGGCATATTCTAACCACAGATCCAGCCCTGTCTGAACTTTTTCAGGACCCTCCTCTTTGTTCACAAAAGAGGACCAAACCTCCGTAACAAATTGGTCAGAGCCAACATCTTACCCCCTCCAAAACAAACTCTATTATCTCCTATCAAAGACGGGAATTATCCCTGTGGAAATTGTGCTCATTGCCACAATTCAGTGAAAACAAATACCTTTAAGCACCCTAGAACTGGTAAAAGCTTTGGAATCAGGGGAATAATCACATGCAATACAAAAAATGTTATGTATATGTTGACCTGTCCGTGTGACAAAATTTACATTAGTAAAACCAATGTAAAACTGGAAAACTTAACCATTTAATTCTGAACTTTTTGTGCTTTGTTTTATGATGGCTAAAGCCTGATGTGTACACAGCATGAACTAGTTCTTTTTTTTCCCTCTCTGTTTGTTTTATGTCTTTGCTGACTGCATTTCCCATGATGCTCTACTGACCCAGAATGCTTCACCACTGACAGGTGCTGCTAATCAAGCATATTAACCCCTAGCACTGTTTGTAACCTGCACTCTGCCTTGATGAAGGTCTACCTGACCGAAAGCTTGCTTAAATAAAGCCCTTCTTTTTTGCTACAGACCAGAAGTGTGCGGATTGTTTCTCTTTTTTGACTTTAAAGTTTTTGCAAATCCTGCACCTTCTCTCCAGATTGAGCGGTGACCCTTCACTATTTTACTAATTCAGTTTTTATAAATACGATGAATTCTATATCATTGAGGAGCAATGCATTTAATCATTTAATCGCCACTTTTTAGCTGATGGCCTGTTACCAATGTTCCATGACAGTACGAGAGGTGCATGATCGGATAATGTAATTGGGAGGATCTTTATGTCAACTACTCTATAAGATTCTGCCTTGGGAGTAAAAAAAAAAGGTCTATTCTGGAGAATGAAGAATGCCTATGCGAGAAAAAGGTAAAGTTTTTGCCTTTAGGGTGTTTGTTTCTCCAAATGTCCACCAAACCAGATTCTGTCGATAAGTACTTAAGCGTATTGCTCATTCTAGAAGTGTAGCTGCTAGACACAGGTTGTCTATCCAAATGTGGGGACGTGACGCAATTAAAATCTCCTCCCAACAGTAAAATGCCAGAACTATGCTGTAATAGTATGGAAAAGATTGTGCGGATGAAGCTCGGCTCATCCTCATTTGGAGCATATATTGTGGTGAGACGCCTCCTCCTCTTGTTTTATTATTGGCTGGACTTCCTGTGTTTCTTTGTTTGCCTGGTTTGACTTGACTCTTTTCCAGAGCTCCCGCCCCTCCCCCGGTCGCTGAGGCTGAGTGAGACTACACACCTGCTCTACATCTACAATCAAGGCACTTTAAGAAGCCAGCAGCCCTCAGTCTCAGCGCCTGAGTATTTTCTTCACTCCCAAGTGGTACAGACGTGTCTCCTGGCCTTCCTCAGATAATTACTTGCGACTTTTTACCCCCGTGAGCCCTTGTATGTCTTCTCATCTCCTTCTACTCTGTTTTCTCTGCAGTGTCTCCAGCCCACACAACAGCCAGCCAGCAAACCAGACTTTTTCCTTGTGCTTTGTTTCCCTGAGTTGGACATTAAACACCTTTAATTTGCTATCTGCCTTTGTGTCTGCTTCTGGGTCCACAAAATACACCGCACACCACAATATATGTTCATAAGACTGACCTCCACTCCATCAATCAGTCCATTCACCATTATAAATCTTTTTGCATTTTGGTTAATGTAAAATTGACCTGTCTGTGTATCAAAATAGGTGCACCTCTTTTTCGACCAGATGAATGTGATGAAAAAAATCCCGTATCTGCCCATTTATTGTTATTCTCCTATTTCTTTATTATTAAGTGGAAATGCTGACACAGCATTTCCACTTATTGTTATTCTCCCATTTCTTTATTATTATTTATTATTATTCCGTACCTTTTGGCCCTTTTCAACTTCTTCCCACTTTGTGCTATTTTAACCATTCAAACTTCATACTAATGCACTCCCTCAGGACATTATTGCTATTACTTTTCACCTTTCTACCATTTATACTTTTTGCAATATTTCACTTTTTCTGCAAAATTTGTACCATTAGAAATGAATGGAGAAATCTCTCCATTCTGCCTACAGCTATAATGCCTTCTCACCCCTATAACTTCTGCATACTTTCACCTACTATCTCCTACCGTTTTTGCACAATTTAGCTTGAAGCAACATGAGGTTTTCTGCCCTGTTCAGCCTTTCCAATGAGTGTGTACTGGAAATACTAGAGCGGGTGACGTCATCACTAGAGCAGGGAGAGTATTTTGGATTCACTAAACCAAGCGTGATTATTTTGCTCCCACGGCCGCAATGTTCACTCCACAGTCACAAAAAATACATCAAAATGGAGGTACACTCGTCCTGCTTCTCACAAAGTAGGTCTAAAGTCATCAAATTGTACTGCTTGCCCAGGAGGTGAGTACAATCCTTAGGAGCCAGAGATTCTGCCCATTAACTCCCATGTTAAATTTTGGCCAAGAAACCCTGACAATCACTACAGCAAAGCCGTTTTTAAATCGCTGTTGTGGCCACATTTTTTACACTATGGACACAAAAAATACATCATTGTGTTTATGAGAGTGTCAGGCCTCCTAAGATTGTCTTATTTTTGAGATACGACTTACGAAAATTGCACTGTGCGACGGTTTCTCACTGCTTTCGCGATATCAGACACACACACATACACACACACACACACACACACACACAAACACACACACGTACAGGCTCGGCCGCGCATGCGCACACACTATTTCCATGTGTCTGCATTACTGTCTTTCTGTCAGTAGAAAATATACCCCCAATATTTACTTTGTCGTTTACTTCTTGTCTTTAACTCTTTTAACATACTAACTACTTCTTCTTCTTCTACTTTGGCTGTTCTTTACTTTCTACATTTATACAATTACTTTAACTTCAGCTGTTTCATACTTTCTACATTCGTATGTAGGGCAGTAACTGAAGCACGGCAATAGATGGCGTTGTTCTGAATTCTTGAGTTACTATGGTTGGATGCTGCAGACTGCAGAAATCTGTTTTACTATTTGTACATTTAATGGGAACATTATTACACATTTTAAGGCATTTGTTTTTCAAATTCAATTATCCTTATCAGTTTTTTTTTAACAGTTTTTCCATTCATACCTTGCTGCAGTTTTTTATTGGTAGTTTAGCATTGCTTTTTCGGCTTTCAGCACTCAGCATTTCCACGCATTTTCTGCAAGGAAATGCAATTTTTCTAGTTTCTCATGTTCTTTATCTGAAAGGTGAGTTTCTTGCAGGAATGCAATCTGGCAGCTATTTCTCTTCATCTGATTAATAATTTTCTTTCTTTTGATTGGGCTGTGGAGGCCTTTGACATTGTAGCTTATTACCTTGAGAGATACCATAAGTCAAATGCAGGGTCAAATATAATGGAAAGAAAGAGAGTAAAATAATATAAATTGTGCAAATAAAGATGTTGTGAGAAATAAAATCAAACAAATAGTAAAGTGGGTGTATAGAGACTGGAAGCTTCGTGAAAAATACCTGAGAGTTACCAAGTTCACAGCAGCATATGTTTTGTTGCATTTCAACTTTAGCAAATGATTCTTATCCTGAAAGAATATATGGATTGGAAAGTTCTCTGTTGCTCTTCTTAGATCCCTGGGGAACAAGGGAATTGTCACTAACAGAGCTGAACATAGAACAACAATAGCCAAGAACACGGCTGACATAGGTATCCGGTTGGTCCTGTGGGGCACAGTTTCAGGCTGCATCTCGAAAATACAGCTTTGTGAACAGTCCGTAGAGAACAGAGTTCGCTTTGGTTTGGACAGATGCCAAACTATTTTCAGTCAGGAAATATGCACATCGAGCTGCCTCAGAACCTCATATAAAATAAAGACATCTTAAACTCATTGTGTTTCAAATGTAACTGTATGTTATAGTAAATTACTTTGGCCAGAACGGCAAGTGATCATGTATTTTTAAGTAAACTGTAGGTAAAGGATACTGTCGCTTAGCACTCTGGTCCTTGCGCTGTAAGGATGTGTTTCTTTATATAGTCCATTGCCTTAGTAGCATCCACAAACTCCTGCTTGTCGCTGTTGTTGTATTTGCGGAGCCTGGCCAGGTACAGCAGACCATAATGGACTCCTGAGGCATCTTTCTGGCGGGCGTAAACGCCGCTCTGGCGACATACGCGGTGTAGTCTGGAAATATGGCGATCGCGTTTCCCTTGTAATTGAGTTGACCGCCCCATTCTCTGGCTTTCCTCAGAATGTCCAAGGCATCTCCCTCGCTGTGTAGTTTTGTGATGATTACGTGGGGCTTGTCTCCGGTCTCCTCTGTGTCAGGCTGCGGTGTGAGTGTTGGATTAGTACCTCTCTTTTCAGGTGTAGCTTTTTGTTTTTGGAGACCGCGGTGGGAGAGCTTGATTCCAGCCCCTCTGCCACCCCCGTGATCCGAATGTTTCCCCTCCTCACCCTGTCCTCCATGTCCTCACACTTTTCTTTTAAATCTTCGACTTGCTTCTTAAGGTCAGTTACCGTAGTTTGCATCGATGCAACTTTATCCGACCATACTGACAATCCATCCTCAACGGCTTTCACATTGGCTTGCACTTGCTCGACCTTTGTACGGATTGCTGCTTTGTTGTTAGCTATCTCAGTTTTCACGGCAATAATTTCTTCCTTGAGCTATTCAAAATCCTTCTCCAGCACGTTCTTAAATTCTTCCCTAATAACTAACGCTATCTCATTTCTCAATGAGGAGAGGATGTCAGCTTTGATTGTTGCAGTGTTCATGCTTGTATTTACTCCAGGTTCAGGTGGGGTCGTGTCAGATTCATCTGGACTTTTAGCTGAAAAGGTTTGGGGCCTTGTGTTAGGCCAAGCTTCGTATTTGTATTTTCTGAGATTTGCTGCCATCCGCTTCGTTTCTTCTTCACTAACCTTTCTAGGTAGTGTTAATTATACAGTTACTGCATTTAGTTGATATTTTCAGGCGTAGATGTTGTTTAATATACGTTTGTAGTTGAAGTTCTTCAGGAGCTTGTAAAAGTGCGTCTTACTCCATTGCCAAACTTATTATGTTGAGTTGTATTAACAGAGAACCTTAAGTTTAGTGTTTATATTTGTAGAATGTACTCAAAATTATTAAATATAACTGGCTATTATTGTTATTGCTACTCATTATTTACTACAGTTACTGTATTTTCTTCTAATTAAACAACATATATATATATATATATATATATATATATATATATATATATACTACAGGTCAAAGGTTTGGAAGCAAGATCAGATTTGTACAAAAAAGATCATAGCTTCATAGCTAGTGCATATGTGAGTCCAAACAGAATGCACATTGCTTTTGGCAGATCTTGAATTTTTCCCATCACCACTTTTCCCTCATTGATGATTTTCAACGAGGCTGCACTGAGGTGCTGGAAAGATGTGAGCACAGCACCTTCACGCTCAGTGAGAAGTATCCCAATGTCAAAGTCACAGAAAGAATCATCATCAGATTCCTTGGTAAAGAATAACAGAAGAGCACAATCATTACTTTAGACTTCTTTTTTGAAGAAAAAAAGAAAAAGAAAAAAAGTACTGTAATTCAAATCAAATTACATTCATATAGCGCCAAATCAAAACAGTCATTGTCCCAAGAAGTTTTCCAAAAAAAGAGCAGGTCTCGACCACGCTCACTTTTTGATGTAAGAGTGTCATGGTAAAAATTAAAAGAAAGCAAGAGCTTACTTACAAAGCCTGCTTTGAAGAAGTTTGCGGGGTTGGCCCCCAGGATGATTGGAAGTCCTCTGAGCACCTGTGTCCAGATTGCAGTTGGCTCTGTAGTCTTTTGGGAATTAAACAGAATAACAAGTTAGATAGCTAACAAACAATGATCTATAAGAAACTTGATGACACAACTAATAGAGTGGCACTATGTTTTTACAAAACCTGTAAAGAATAATGCCAAGCACATAATGTGTATGGACCTACGTTGGTCTGTTGTGAAAACTGTCCAACATTCCCTCTATTGGAACAAAATTCACTGCAAAGACTCCTGATCTAGCCAAGACTTAGAATCTTATATCTATCCTAAGTCTTATTGATCTTGTTTTGAGAATAATATACTATTTAAGACCACATTTTGTAAGATTAATAAGATTGTTTTCAGAATATGTACACTCTTTTTTCTTACTTAGTTGATCTTAAAGTTAGTAACTTTACATGTACATCAACCAAATTATTTTCAGAAACATTTTTTAGGCCAACCTGTGTTTTTTCACTATTTTTAACTTGTTTCAAGACTTAACAGTAATAAATGCTTAATCACATTTGTTGAGTCAAATAATTTCATTTATCCCAAGTAATGATGTGCTGTCAACATCAACACATTTACTTGCAATTTTTTACAAGTAGTAACACCGCATACAACACAACCTTATCAACACTTTCAAATCACCATACCCACCTTCCAAATCTTATCCAATGGTTATTATTTTCCAGTTTTAAGTGCAATGACATCATCAAGGTCATATTTTGTCACAACATACACACTATTTTTGAAACTGACTGGATAATATGATGTATGATCAACTAGCTTTTCAGCATCTATCAACTCTGCTGCCTGGGCAAAATTAGATACAGCAACTTCATATACTAAAAGATCTCTATTCAAACCCAGAGTTTCATGAAGCTGATATTCAAAACAATACACAAACTGTCTATGACATAAATGTTTTTTATAAGTCCAAAGACAGGTACTGTCTCATTTGCATTGGTGATTATCAGAGACTTTTCACAGATGTACTTTTTGCCATTGAGAATAAGCCATTTTACTGTGACTGCATGCCATCAACCCCCAAAAAGTCTCTAATCTTTGCTGTGATATATAGGCCTTGAGCTAGGACTCCAAATATGGGGTCATCGGTATCAACTGGGGGGAATAATTCTCAAAGTGATTTTTAGGTAGGTATACACCTCTAGTACTAGAAAAAATGTGATAGCATTGCATCTGTGGTAGCTTTCTGTGTGTTATCACTCAATTTGTGACCACATGCCAAAACAGAGTTTTCAAAATCCGAATTAATCATTCTACTTCAAACTGATGGTTCTCTCTTATTAATTGACCCTATCTCTGTGAAGAAATGTCAGAATAAAGCCCAGGCTACATATTGTTCAGTAGAGTTGTTGGAATCAGCATCTCTAGATGTTTTTTCTCTTATAAGCAGTGACCACATAGTGACAATATATGTCTTCCATTTGTAACACAAAGGTTTAATTTGTACACAACCTAAACATGTAAACACATAAAACATGGTAAGTAATGCATAGGCTAGATATTTCTACTTTATTCTTGCTGTGATTTAAGTTGTCACACTCACACCTGGCCTGAGTCAGTCTAAATGGATGGAGCTGGGTGTGCACAACACAGACATGCTGTGCATTGAGTTAATTGAGGCACACAGTACAAATAGGCCAGTCAGTGGTGGTGGAGTAGTCCTGTACAACACAATTCAAGAAATTTGCTACATTTCATAATCTGAATTCACTTATGCGTATACTAAGGCACCAATAACTGTTTCAGGTGTTAGGTAGATGTATTTATGACATTTGAGAAAGATTTTGTCTTGCCAGAATCAACATAGCTGTTTCTACAAGCAAAAACAGCAGCACCATATAATTGTTTTTTGGGTTACTCACATGTATGTACATTTCTGGCTGGTGACAAAAGTCGGACAGATAGTCTGAGTAGATATTTTAACCCAAAGTCCAATTGTCTATACAAAAATGCATTGAACAAGTAGCACCAGCGTAGTTAAACGAAATTCACCTCCTAGGCACTTTTTCCTTTGTCCCAATACAGCCTATGACCTCAAGCGAAGTTTCTTTCACAGAGTTTCAGATGCTGTGGACGTGGATGCATCGGCGATGCTGCCTTAAGAGTTTGACTGACCCGTGGCTGCATCACGTTCTTGTTTCTCAAACGCCTTTTGCAAATAAATCGCTGGTAGCATGTCATGTGAAACCCAGCGTCATCAGGAACATTGTCAAAGTTGATATCAACGCAATGTTTATAAGTTTCTGCGAGGTTCTGTGTCTCACCCTGTAGAGAAAACCACTTTCTAATACTAGTTCTGTAAGTTTCCCAACGTGTCCGTGTAAAGTCGTGAATGTCTTCACTCTGGACAGATGATAGATTCATATAGCATTGTTTCGTTCCTTTTTTATGCACTTTTGAAGGCTGATTTCTTTTTTTCCTTTTCTTTTCTTCCTCTTCGCTTGTCTCGCTGCTAGATGTGCTCATCGCCATGTTTGTGTATTTCTGATACTATGGCAACAAGACTCGGCTCCTATTGGTCCACGTGACAAAAATCGCTTCACCCCTCTGCATATTCGATTGCGCATGTGCAAGTATCACTACGCCGCAGAAAGGAAATAGTTTGACACCGAAACACTGATTACTAAAAATCGACAGGATGGCATGAGTAGATTATTTTTTTTCAGTACTTACTATCAATAGAGCTATTTTATGAATCACAGTTTATGTTGCCACACTGAAGTGGAACAAACCAACACGATCTCGCTCAGCCAATACAGCCTATTTCAGGTTAGAGGCCAGTCCAAAAGCAGCATTGCCATCATGGTGAAAAGGAGTATTTTGGGCAAATTTTAATGAGTTTTTAGCTCATTTGCGTATTGTTGTCTGGCGAAATTAACATACTTTTCCAACTAGGATTTCATAGGACTTATATTATGTTAGTCTAGACACCTTATAGAAATGATTTATGGTGAAAAGAAACCCTTTCTATAGGTTTTTTGGGGGGTTAAGTTGTATGTTTTCATATATTGACCCATGTAATTTTTGCCTAGTTTTATAAAATAAAATGCATGATGGCACTCATTTAGCTACCACTGCTGCAATGCTATCACATATTTTCTAACTCTATACATGTATACAATGTCAAAAATCACTATGGGCATTATTCCCCTCAGTTGATACCGACCAACCCCCCTGGCTCATGGCCTAATACTCCATATTTGTCACTTCTGAAACAGGGCCCAATTCCTTCTCATGTGCCAAAAATTGGATGTTCAGTGCCCATTTCATTCTGACAGCATTCAGAGAGCTGATTATGGTTCACCAGTGACTTACATACATTTTTGAAGTTCAACTGAGATGACCACTGTTTGAAAAAACAGTGCTTTGACTCGAATGCCATGCACATGTGTCTTATCAAAGGGCCCAGAGAAAGAATTTGAGCAGGGAGATGGAGCATGTAATGTTGCTTAGGAATTACGTTATTCTCAGGAAACAGTTTCTTAAACTGTCTGAGATGCTGTTCAGTCATTTTTCTCAGTCTCAACACACTTTCCACAGATATAACGGGGGCAAAAAGTAGCTTAACAATTTCAATCAAGTCTAAAACAAACTGAACATATTCATTTTTCTCTATATTGTTCAACAGAAAAGGTATGATCTTCAACAATATCAGCATTTGACCAGAGGACTGTTTAAGCTTGTTATCATTAGATGCCAAGGTACTGACACTGATAGGACAGGGTTTGTCACGCACATCTATTGATGAAAAAGGAAAACTCTGCATGGCTGAATTGAACATTTCTAGAGAGAACAAGGTATTTTAACACACACTTAATTTCCATTGGTGCAACACCCTCAAGAATGATGTGGCGTTTGCTGAATGAGGTCAAAGGCAGGAAAATCAACCACCTTGCTTCTTCTATTTATCCCAGAGATGGTTTTGAGGGCTGATATCGCCCTTTCGATTTCAATGCACTGTCTAATGTGTTTTTCCACTGTCCTTTTAGTAAAACTCTGTTAGTCAAAATTCCTTTGCATTTCCTCAAAGCTACACTCGCGATGCCTACATTTACTGTAAGCAACACCCACTCCTTCCTTAAAACCAGCAAGGTTATGTTGTGCAAGTGTGTCACCACATACTGAAATGACAGCTCCAAATAAATCCATTTCACCATTCGGATTTTGACACCATTATACAGCAACTGTAATTCTTCATCAATTTTTTGTAATAAACCATCAACACCACACTCATCAATATAATTAGCTTTTGCTATAGCAAGTAGTCTGATTGCAGAAAGTTTTGACCTAAACTTGGGGTCTATGTTTCCTAAAGTATAATATACCATTAGTAACTTATTGACAGAAGCATGTGACCCCAGGGGATTGCATATCTCTGTTTCATCAGTATACTAAATTACCTGCAAAGCTGAAGGTTGTATTGAAAACAGTGGGTGGGATTTGAAAAGACTCCCTTCAATAATGTCATACAAAAACCCTTCTTTGGGGCAACTCTGTGGTGCAGTGTTGATCATATCCAAAATTCTGGAGTTGGACAAGAATTGTTCAAGACTCTTAATCAGGGGTTTATAATAAAAACTTTAGTTTTTGATTGCAAGAACCCTTGTTTGTCCTTTCTTAACTCTGCAAACTCTGAGAAATCACAATCTCCTCTGGTTTAACTGGGTTGAAAAGCTTCTGAATGGTTCTGTCCTGCATGTATATAGTGGCCATTATGGAGAAAGGATGCTGAAAATTGTCCAGTGTTGCCAGCGCCTCCTCTTGGAGCTGTTCCATACCACTTGAGTGTCTTTCGAAGACCCTCCTCATGGTGTCCCTCAAGGTATTCAGAAGAGCAGCTTGATATTGCTGGACTTCAGAGACAATAGTGTTGACACTCCTCTGAAACATTAAAAAAAGCACACACACAAAAAAAGTATAAGACACATCCTTGTTGTTCAATAACCTAAAACTAATGTGTCTCATCAAGTGTCCACAAAAAAACATTTTTAGACCAAAAAGGTCATTGTCTTATCACAGGAAGTTTATTGAGTTTGTGCATTTTCAGGATAACACTGCAGTGCTTTGTCACGGACCCTTTCTGTCCACTGACATGACCCTGGATTACTAAAAGAAATAGAAGGTAAGGAATCTTCCTTTTTTGTATGTATTCTTGTCACAAACTATGGGGCTGTTGTTGTTTACAATGGGTTTGATTAAAAAATGATCCATAAATATAAATGTCAGTGTTCACACTTAACAAATGGTGCATTGCGTGAGCAGAATTATTTGTTGTATAACTTTACTACAGTATTGATTTTGATTGATTCATCTGGTGTATTGGAAGTGGTATTAACATACTATTTATAATATTAAAAATAATGGCAGTGAATATTGGTAGCACAATACGTGGAAAAGGTGGCATTGTTCCCGAACGTTGATGGCAAAGGCAGCTGCATGTCTGGTAAGATTGTCACTTAATGTACCAGCTCCTTCCTGTAGACATGATATATACAATAAGTTATGCTTTGTTTGACGCAAGTGTTATATTTCCTACTATATCAGCATTTCTTGTTAGTTTGAAATAAACACTTATGGCTCTATTTTTGTAACCACCAGTGGTGCAGCGACCTTGCAAAACCTGCGCAGTGGTAGGTCCCATTTTGACACCCCGCTCAATAAGCGGAGCACACATTCACACACCTCAGGGGATATGAGGCAGCAGGTTTTGAAAATAGAGCCCAAAGTGTTGTACTAACAGCATAATGTCAAAATAAAAACTGAACAAGTCAAACAGAAGGAGGTCAGAAAACAAGGAGGCTTTGTACTAAAATATGAACAATATATAAACAGGAAGTTGTCTAATGTCGTCAAGGAAGCCAACATTACATTACCTGATAATCCATATGTTGACTCAGAAAATCCTCAGGCTCCTGCTGCAACATTTCATTTGGGGTGACGGTTGTGATGTCACTGCTGGTCCTTATCCCTCTTGTTTGAGTGGCACAGTCGGTAAAAATTGGTATACCAAAATTTTCACCCCCAACTCGAGATGGCTCAGATGTCGCTGTCGTCATCCATCCTGTTGGCGGGTGCCCAGTTGTAGAAGGAGTTGAAGACTGTATTCTTCGGTACAACCATCAATTCCATATATAACACAGAAATCTGGATTGCGACTGTGAGCTGTGTTAATCTGGCTCAAAAGAGACTTCAGTGTTAAGGTGACTAAAAAACTAAGCAAATCACACACCTCCAACAGGCCATGTTGTTCCATGCAAAAAAAAAAAAAAAAGGAAAAAGAAAAATGAGCAAGCAGATATTTTAATCCAATCAAAATCTCCTCTGGCAAAATTGAAAACTTGCTAGTACAGCGTGACAAAAAAGTTACTTAGTAACTACATGTCACAGAAAGAAAAAATTCCAAATTTGATTTACGGGTCTGCAGGCAGCAAACGGCAAGATGGCACGGACAGATTTTCTCACTTCTTGGCGGGCACAGGCGGGCGGGGTTATTAATCAGGTCTATACCAAGTCAGGAAGGGGGAACTGTTTAATACTCAATGTAACCTAAATGTAACACTGTAATTCAAGTATGACAAAAATTGACTTAACAGTGAACATATAAATTACAATATCCACCCATGATTTGTTTTATTAGGGCCCGAGCGTAGTTGCTAAGCAGCTGCGAGAGCCCTGTTGTTCCTGATAGATTCTTCTTTCTTCTTCTTCTTCTTCTTTAGGGCCCGAGAGCCCTCTTGTTAGGGCCCGAGCCAGCTGCAGAGCAGCCGGGCGTAGAGCCCTATTATTCCTGATGAGTTTTTCTTTGTTTCTTTAGGGCCCGAGCGTAGCTGCTAAGCAGCTGCGAGAGCCCTCTTGTTCCTGATGGATTCTTCTTTTGTTATTAGGGCCCGAGCCAGCTGCAGAGCAGCCGGGCGTAGAGCCCTATTATTCCTGTATAGGTTTTTCTTTCTTTAGGGCCCGAGTGTAGCTGCTAAGCAGCTGCGAGAGCCCTATTGTTCCTGATGGATTCTTCTTTCTTCTTCTTCTTCTTTAGGGCCCGAGCCAGCTGCAGAGCAGCCGGGCGTAGGCCCTGTTATTCCTGTAGTGGTTTTTTAGGGCCCGAGCGTAGCTGCTAAGCAGCTGCGAGAGCCCTCTTGTTCCTGCATGTTTCCTTCTTTCGTTATTATTTTTCCTCCGCTTTAAACTGGAAAATGGCCCACTTCCCACTGGCGAAAACTCAGGAAATTTGGCAGGACGACCGGGCCTGGTGAAAAATTCGATATTCTGAAGTCGCCCAAACAATAAAATGCAAAATGGCTCCATAGCGCCCCCTAAGGTGAAAATTCACATGACGGCTGTACGCTTTGTCATATTGACACAAAAATTGACACACACATGTATCTCAACAAGATCTACAAAAAAGTCAGTGCGGGCGTATCTGTCAAATGTACGGTTAATGGGTTATTTTGCATTTTTTGCAGATCTGCACACATTGGAATTTCGCTAACTCCTCCGAAGGCTTTCGTTCGACCGGCACCACATTTGCTCAGGCCAATCTACCCCCCATGGCCATTAAAAGTTGTACAAATCATGACGCTGCACCCCACGGTTTACGTTCTAGGGGGCGCCAAAGATAACCCAAAATCCACATTCTTAAAAGTCTTATAACTTTTTATTTTTGTCCTCACTGCCCTCCAAGTTTTCTAGGATGATGCAATGTCCAGCCATCAACACATTTGTGAAGGAATTTTTACTCCCCAAAAGAGCGCCACCCAATGGCAGGAAAAAAAAGTCCATTTTTTCTTGTCCCCTAAGGTGAAAATACACATTGTTGAGTGTCACGCCTATACGCTTTGTCATATTGACATAAAATTTGACACACACGTGTATCTCAATAAGATCTACAAAAAAGTCAAAAAGCGCGTATCTGTATAATGTACGGTTAAAGGGCTATTTCGCATTTTTTGCCGATTCGCACACATTGGAATGTGGCTATCTCCTCCTAAGGCTTTCGTCCCACCGATACCAAATTTGCTCAGGGCAATCTACACCCCATGCCCATTCAAAGTTGTAAAAATCATGACGCTGCACCCCACGGTTTACGTTCTAGGGGGCGCCAAAGATAACCCAAAAATCCACATTCTTAAAAGTCTAATAACTTTTTATTTTTGCCCTCACTGGCCTCCAAGTTTTCTAGGATGATGCAATGACCAGCCATCAACACATTTGTGAAGGAATTTTTACTCCCCAAAAGAGCGCCCCCCCATGGCAGGAGAAAAAAGTCCATTTTTTCTTGTCCCCTAAGGTGAAAATACATATTGTTGAGTGTCACGCCTATACGCTTTGTCATATTGACATAAAATTTGACACACACGTGTATCTCAATAAGATCTACGAAAAAGTCTATGCGCACGTATCTGTCAAATGTACGGTTAAAGGGCTATTTTGCATTTTTTGCGGAACCGCACACATTGGAATTTCGCTAACTCCTCCGAAGGCTTTCGTTCCACCGGCACCAAATTTGCTCAGGCCAATCTACACCCCATGGCCATTAAAAGTTGTACAAATCATGACGCTGCACCCCACGGTTTACGTTCTAGGGGGCGCCAAAAATAACCCAAAAATCCACAGTCTTAAAAGTCTTATAACTTTTTATTTTTGTCCTCACTGGCCTCCAAGTTTTCTAGGATGATGCAATGTCCAGCCATCAACACATTTGTGAAGGAATTTTTACTCCCCAAAAGAGCGCCCCCCCATGGCAGGAGAAAAAAGTCCATTTTTTCTTGTCCCATAAGGTGAAAATACACATTGTTGAGTGTCACGCCTGTACGCTTTGTCATATTGAAACAAAATTTGACAATCACGTGTATCTCAATAAGATCTACGAAAAAGTCAATGCGCACGTATCTGTAAAATGTACGGTTAAAGGGCTATTACGCTTTTTTGATCGATTCGCACACATTGGAATGTGGCTAACTCCTCCTAAAGCTTTCGTTCCACCGGCACCAAATTTGCTCAGGCCAATCTACACCCCATGTCCATTAAAAGTTGTACAAATCATGACGCTGCACCCCACGGTTTACGTTCTAGGGGGCGCCAAAGATAACCCAAAATCCACATTCTTAAAAGTCTAATAACTTTTTATTTTTGCCCTCACTGGCCTCCAAGTTTTCTAGGATGATGCAATGACCAGCCATCAACACATTTGTGAAGGAATTTTTACTCCCCAAAAGAGCGCCCCCCCATGGCAGGAGAAAAAAGTCCATTTTTTCTTGTCCCCTAAGGTGAAAATACATATTGTTGAGTGTCACGCCTATACGCTTTGTCATATTGACATAAAATTTGACACACACGTGTATCTCAATAAGATCTACGAAAAAGTCTATGCGCACGTATCTGTCAAATGTACGGTTAAAGGGCTATTTTGCATTTTTTGCGGAACCGCACACATTGGAATTTCGCTAACTCCTCCGAAGGCTTTCGTTCCACCGGCACCAAATTTGCTCAGGCCAATCTACACCCCATGGCCATTAAAAGTTGTACAAATCATGACGCTGCACCCCACGGTTTACGTTCTAGGGGGCGCCAAAAATAACCCAAAAATCCACAGTCTTAAAAGTCTTATAACTTTTTATTTTTGTCCTCACTGGCCTCCAAGTTTTCTAGGATAATGCAATGTCCAGCCATCAACACATTTGTGAAGGAATTTTTACTCCCCAAAAGAGCGCCCCCCCATGGCAGGAGAAAAAAGTCCATTTTTTCTTGTCCCATAAGGTGAAAATACACATTGTTGAGTGTCACGCCTGTACGCTTTGTCATATTGAAACAAAATTTGACAATCACGTGTATCTCAATAAGATCTACGAAAAAGTCAATGCGCACGTATCTGTAAAATGTACGGTTAAAGGGCTATTACGCATTTTTGATCGATTCGCACACATTGGAATGTGGCTAACTCCTCCTAAAGCTTTCGTTCCACCGGCACCACATTTGCTCAGGCCAATCTACACCCCATGGTCATTAAAATTTATTCAAATCATGACCCTGCACCCCACGGTTTAGGTTCTAGGGGGCGCCAAAGATAACCCTAAAATCCACATATTTAAAAGTCTTATAACTTTTTATTTTTGTCCTCACTGGCCTCCAAGTTTTCTAGGATGATGCAATGTCCAGCCAGCAACACATTTGTGAAGGAATTATTTCTCCCCAAAAGAGCGCCCCCCCATGGGAGGAGAAAAAGTCCATTTTTCCTGCCCATCGCTCAATGGCTCAAACGCATCGCTCTCTCGGCAAAACCAAAAAGAGGAGCAACTTGCCATTTGGATATCTCTTAGCTGTGTTTGTGCCCTCACTCATGGTCCACACTTTTTTCAAATAGGACATGTAGTTTTTCTGCAGCAAACGTTTTGGTAGAAACTGCGCCTCCCTTTCATTATAATGGTAAATGACCACAGACAAGTGGTCCTTGAGGACCTTGAGTGTGACGCGATAGGGAGGGGGAGGCGGTCGCGCTGGGGGCGGCGCGACACGGCTCGGGCCCGCCAGTGCCCCACCGGGGCCCTAGTTATTATTTTTCCTCCGCTTTAAACTGGAAAATGGCCCACTTCCCACTGGCGAAAACTCAGGAAATTTGGCAGGACGACCGGGCCTGGTGAAAAATTCGATATTCTGAAGTCGCCCAAACAATAAAATGCAAAATGGCTCCATAGCGCCCCCTAAGGTGAAAATTCACATGACGGCTGTACGCTTTGTCATATTGACACAAAAATTGACACACACATGTATCTCAACAAGATCTACAAAAAAGTCAGTGCGGGCGTATCTGTCAAATGTACGGTTAATGGGTTATTTTGCATTTTTTGCAGATCTGCACACATTGGAATTTCGCTAACTCCTCCGAAGGCTTTCGTTCGACCGGCACCACATTTGCGCAGGCCAATCTACCCCCCATGGCCATTAAAAGTTGTACAAATCATGACGCTGCACCCCACGGTTTACGTTCTAGGGGGCGCCAAAGATAACCCAAAATCCACATTCTTAAAAGTCTTATAACTTTTTATTTTTGTCCTCACTGGCCTTCAAGTTTTCTAGGATGATGCAATGTCCAGCCATCAACACATTTGTGAAGGAATTTTTACTCCCCAAAAGAGCGCCCCCCCATGGCAGGAGAAAAAAGTCAATTTTTTCTTGTCCCCTTACATGAAAATACACATTGTTGAGTGTCACGCCTGAACGCTTTGTCATATTGACACAAAAATTGACAATCATGTGTATCTCAATTAGATCTACGAAAAAGTCAAAAAGCGCGTATCTGTATAATGTACGGTTAAAGGGCTATTTCGCATTTTTTGCCGATTCGCACACATTGGAATGTGGCTATCTCCTCCTAAGGCTTTCGTCCCACCGATACCAAATTTGCTCAGGGCAATCTACACCCCATGCCCATTCAAAGTTGTAAAAATCATGACGCTGCACCCCACGGTTTACGTTCTAGGGGGCGCCAAAGATGACCCAAAAATCCACATTCTTAAAAGTCATTTTGGCCACTGCAGGAGTACAGAGTACTGCAGTTCTAGGGGGCGCCAAAGATGACCCAAAAATCCACATTCTTAAAAGTCTTTTTGGCCACTGCAGGAGTACAGAGTACTGCAGGATACACACACATACACACACACACACACACACACACACACACACACACACACACTCAGAGTCTGTTTTTTAGCACCTGCAAAAACATGCTGTTTACATATTTGACAAGAATGCAGAGGCTTCCTTTTGCCCCTGAAAAAAATCAAATTTCAAACACAACTTGACTGTTCATTTCTCCAAAAGACAACCATGAAGCTCCATCCAAACCTGAAGCAGATAGTTGGTGCATGTGTACAGTAACCTGAGGGGAGTGAGGTGACTATTTCTGAGGAGAACATGAGCAGTGAAGATTCACCTTGGAGCTAGAACAGGGACGTGCACATGATTATACAGGGGCAGGGGCTCAAGTTTTTTCCAGTCATTTATACAATATGGAAATGAATGTGAAATTAAACCACAAATATGTGTGATGAACTGTTTTTAAAACTTAAACTTCAAATAAAAATTGTAAACTTCAAAACATATGCAAATTTTTAACAAAGAACATAGTGATTTACCTCTATTTACATCAAAATGCAGGCAATGGCCCAGGCGTTCTTTGTAAAATTATTTACAAAACACTGTATAGTCTCACAAATGTCACTTTTTATTTATGCCACTACAAAAAAACATGATGTAAATGATGCATGATGTAAAACATGATGTAAAAAACTTGTGTAGATCCTCCTCTATGTCAGTCCATGTGTAATTTTTCCATAATTCTTTGTTTTTTGCAGCATTTTTGTTAGTGTAACCGCAGATTGTGCTGACAGTCTATGGCAAAAAAAAACAAAAACTGAAAATGCCTCAACATGAACCCCTGGTGGTCTCTGAGGGTGAAACCTGCTAACTGCTGCAGCTCTGTCAGCTTCAGTCTCCCATGCAGAGCTCGGAGCGCATGTGTGGCTCTGCACCCTTAGCAGCGTTGCTAACTCCTCAGTAAGGAAAGCCTGCTTCATGTCAGAGTCTCTAAACTCCAGAAGAAGTCGATAAAAGTCCCTTTCTTTCTAAAAAAAAGTCGTTAGGGGGTCTGAAAAGTAATTGAATCTAACAACAAAGTCGCTAGGTTTGCAACTACGTGTCCCAGACTGCATCCCTGCTGAGAGTCCCTCCCTCCCTTCTCATGTTGCAGGAAGAACGTAAGCGCCCGCCCCTTGTCAATCAGTCACCATATAATTTTGGATTGGTTGTTGTGGTGAAGTTTTCCACCAATAGGAGAGATGTTGTGGTGTGTTTTTTTTTTCTTTTGGCAAGCCTTTTCCGCCTGTAAGACCTGTCGCTAATGTGTGCATGCTATGTTTTCCTGTCTCATACAGCGCGATCGAGCGCCGAACGTGATCAAAATAAGCAGAAAAAAAGTATCGCGGACATAATTTATCATAACTCTGGTTTTATTTGGCCTATCAACACAATTTAAAAACTGGTATATAGGTTGAGGTCCTCACTTTTGAGATAAGTTGAAACGGAGAGTTAACGAGGCTCCGTCTTGCAGCTACATCCGGTTAAATATGTCATGTGACTTGAACGCTGGGGAGCGTCAATCGAATCGAATCAAACCTAACTCTCAGATGAATCTTCAAAATTCACCTCAGAAATATGATTATTATTCTTCTCAGAGTACTGCAGGATACACACACACACACACACAGACACACACACACACACGCACACACACACACACACACTCAGAGTCTGTTTTTTAGCACCTGCAAAAACATGCTATTTACATATTTGACAAGAATGCAGAGGCGACACGGCTCGGGCCCGCCAGTGCCCCAACGGGGCCCTAGTTAGGGCCCGAGCCAGCTGCAGAGCAGCCGGGCGTAGGCCCTGTTGTTCCTCAAGTGGTTTTTCTTTGTTTCTTAGGGCCCGAGCGTAGCTGCTAAGCAGCTGCGAGAGCCCTCTTGTTCCTGCATGTTTCCTTCTTTTGTTATTAGGGCCCGAGCGTAGCTGCTAAGCAGCTGCGAGAGCCCTCTTGTTCCTGCATGTTTCCTTCTTTTGTTATTATTAGGGCCCGAGCGTAGCTGCTAAGCAGCTGCGAGAGCCCTATTATTCCCCAAGTGGTTTTTCTTTGTTTCTTTTTTCTTTTTCCTCCCCTTTGAACTGGAAAATGGCCCACTTCCCACTGGCGAAAACTCATGAAATTTGGCAGGACGACCGGGCCTGGTGAAAAATTTGATATTCTGAAGTCGCCCAAACAATACAATGCAAAATGGCTCCATAGCGCCCCCTAAGGTGAAAAATTCACCTGACGCCTGTACGCTTTGTCAAAATGACACAAAAATTGACACACACATGTATCTCAATAACATCTACAAAAAAGTCAGTGCGGGCGTATTTGTCAAATGTACGGTTAAAGGGTTATTTCGCATTTTTTGCCGATCCGCACACATTGGAATTTCGCTAACTCCTCCGAAGGCTTTCGTTCCACCGGCACCACATTTGCTCAGGCCAATCTACACCCCATGGCCATTAAAAGTTATTCAAATCATGATGCTGCACCCCATGGTTTAGGTTCTAGGGGGCGCCAAAAATAACCCAAAAATCCACATTCTTAAATGTTTTATAACTTTTTATTTTTGTCCTCACTGGCCTCCAAGTTTTCTAGGATGATGCAATGTCCAGCCATCAACACATTTGTGAAGGAATTTTTACTCCCCAAAAGAGCGCCCCCCCATGGTAGGAGACAAAAGTCCATTTTTTCTTGTCCCCTTACATGAAAATACACATTGTTGAGTGTCACGCCTGAACGCTTTGTCATATTGACACAGAAATTGACAATCATGTGTATCTCAATTAGATCTACGAAAAAGTCAAAGAGCGCGTATCTGTATAATGTACGGTTAAAGGGCTATTTTGCATTTTTTGCCGATTCGCACACATTGGAATGTGGCTATCTCCTCCTAAGGCTTTCGTCCCACTGATACCAAATTTGCTCAGGGCAATCTACACCCCATGCCCATTCAAAGTTGTAAAAATCATGACGCTGCACCCCACGGTTTACGTTCTAGGGGGCGCCAAAGATGACCCAAAAATCCACATTCTTAAAAGTCATTTTGGCCACTGCAGGAGTACAGAGTACTGCAGTTCTAGGGGGCGCCAAAGATGACCCAAAAATCCACATTCCTAAAAGTCTTTTTGGCCACTGCAGGAGTACAGAGTACTGCAGGATACACACACATATACACACACGCCAACATACACACACAGACACACACACACACACACACACACACACACACACACACACACACACACACACACACACACACACACACTCAGAGTCTGTTTTTTAGCACCTGCAAAAACATGCTGTTTACATATTTGACAAGAATGCAGAGGCTTCCTTTTGCCCCTGAAAAAAATCAAATTTCAAACACAACTTGACTGTTCATTTCTCCAAAAGACAACCATGAAGCTCCATTTCAAACCTGAAGCAGATAGTTGGTGCATGTGTACAGTAACCTGAGGGGAGTGAGGTGACTATTTCTGAGGAGAACATGAGCAGTGAAGATTCACCTTGGAGGTAGAACAGAGACATGCACATGATTATACAGGGGCAGGGGCTCAAGTTTTTTCCAGTTGTTTATACAATATGGAAATTAATGTGAAATCAAACCACAAATATCTGTGATGAACTGTTTTTTAAACTTAAACTTCAAATAAAAATTGTAAACTTCAAAACATATGCAAATTTTTAACAAAGAACATAGTAATTTACCTCTATTTACATCAAAATGCAGGCAATGGCCCAGGCGTTCTTTGTAAAATTATTTACAAAACACTGTATAGTCTCACAAATGTCACTTTTTATTTATGCCACTACAAAAAAACATGATGTAAATGATGCATGATGTAAAACATGATGTAAAAAACTTGTGTAGATCCTCCTCTATGTCAGTCCATGTGTAATTTTTCCATAATTCTTTGTTTTTTGCAGCATTTTTGTTAGTGTAACTGCAGATTGTGCTGACAGTGTCTATGGCAAAAAAAAAAAAAAAAACTGAAAATGCCTCAACATGAACCCCTGGTGGTCTCTGAGGGTGAAACCTGCTAACTGCTGCAGCTCTGTCAGCTTCAGTCTCCCATGCAGAGCTCTGAGCGCATGTGTGGCTCTGCACCCTTAGCAGCGTTGCTAACTCCTCAGTAAGGAAAGCCTGCTTCATGTCAGAGTCTCTAAACTCCAGAAGAAGTCGATAAAAGTCCCTTTCTTTCTAAAAAAAAGTCGTTAGGGGGTCTGAAAAGTCATTGAATCTAACAACAAAGTCGCTAGGTTTGCAACTACGTGTCCCAGACTGCATCCCTGCTGAGAGTCCCTCCCTCCCTTCTCATGTTGCAGGAAGAACGTAAGCGCCCGCCCCTTGTCAATCAGTCACCATATAATTTTGGATTGGTTGTTGTGGTGAAGTTTTCCACCAATAGGAGAGATGTTGTGGTGTGTTTTTTTTTCTTTTGGCAAGCCTTTTCCGCCTGTAAGACCTGTCGCTAATGCTGCATGCTATGTTTTCCTGTCTCATACAGCGCGATCGAGCGCCGAACGTGATCAAAATAAGCAGAAAAAAAGTATCGCGGACATAATTTATCATAACTCTGGTTTTATTTGGCCTATCAACACAAATTAAAAACTGGTATATAGGTTGAGGTCCTCACTTTTGAGATAAGTTGTTAATAAGTTCATTTTAGGAATTATTGCATTTTTTGTGTTATTCCAATTAAAAAATCAGGGGTTTGCTAGATAAAAATGACTAAAAACCTAAAAAAAATTGATATCTATATTTTCATTACACTTTACATCTATGGATAGGTCATGATATAATGATTTAAAGCAAAAGAAAAAATTGGGATGTATAAGTTTTTCACCGCACTTTTACAAGATTATAAGAAGTCTTTTTTTTGGCATGAGGGTAAGCAGTATAAGTTTATATTGGAAACTGTGATCGTGCACTTATAATTATACAACACAATCAATATTTGTATCAGTTGTTGACATAGTCAGGGCTTTTATATGTTTATCCAAAATCTTTCACTTTGCACCTCATTTTTGGAATTATTGCATATTTTTTGTTTTTCTACTTACAAAAATCATGGGTTCTCACGACAAAAGACCTAAAAAATATGTTTTTTTAAAATAACCTTTATATGTATGGATAGGTTTGAAGTTGTTGACAAGATATAATGCTTTAAAGTAAACAGAAATATGAATGTTTGACCACGAGTGTAGCAAGTGTCTGTAAATTTTAATGGGTACTTAAGGGTTACAGAACAATCCTTTATTTACATAATTAAGAAATATAGGCTACAGCGACAAACTGAACTTCTAATAATGTTAATAACTATGATATTTAACAAAATTTACACATAATAAACATAAAAGCACCCACACGACTACACACAGTAAACATAGAATCACACATAATCAATAATTAACTACAATGGATCTAAAAAAAAAGACATGTCTCCCACTTCTCCAGAGTCACAGTTTTCATCTAACGTGCACCCCTCCTCTACTACATCAAGGCCACCAGCAATTGCTTTGTCAGCTGAGGTGAGGTCTTTGTCAGCTGCTTCCACTGGTGGTATACCTAAAAATGATTCAAATCAATGTTAATAATGTTTTAAATTATCACTTTCAGTTTACATAAAAACAGGACATGCAACATTCCCACATGTGTAACATGAACACACACACAGCACCTCATTGTTGTCCCCACATTTGGAATTCTATTGTCTTCTTCATCTTTGTCATTACAAACAATGCCACATACTTACTTTGCAATCCTGAGACATTGCTGGCACCCTCACCAGCCTTGTCTTCATCTGCAAAAAAACCAACTGCTTCACCTAAACACATATAAAATAACACTTAATCAATTATTGATAGACTGACCACGTACATCACAACACATACACAAAAAAAATCATATGAGTCAAAACAGTGAAAAAGAAATTACACACATAAAAATACAACAATTACCACTGCAATACATGAATTACATATTACATTTATTCAATGTGTTCAATAACACATTATAATTTTCACCTATATAAAGACAAACATGACTGATAAATACTTACACATGCTGTCAAGACCCACTTGGGCTTCCTCCAATTGCTTTGATAGAGTGAGGTTCGTGTCTTTTAAGCGTGCAATTTCCTCTTTTTGAGTTGTCATTGCTCTTTCAAGACAAGCAGACCGTTGTTCTGCTGCTTTTAGTTGGCGTGCCATTCTTGCTGTTGTCGTGAGTGCAAAAGTATGGCACGCCATACTTTCATGGAAGATGGCCCGTCTGTCTAGGGTTTCGTCCATTATTGCATACTGAAACAAAAAACAGACAGGAATAAGTAATCATAACAACATCATCAAAAACACAAAGTATGGTCATTTGAACCTAAAACACCACTATAGGACATAACATTCAGACTCCACCTGGAATGAAATACCCTGTTTGTTTTCATTGAAAATACCCTGGGTGTGGTCATTGAGGGCTTTCTCCAAGTTGTTAACTCTTTCAGGTTAACAATTAAATTAAAAGGGGACACACCCAGCGTTGACGACCCAACACCTCCCAGTTGTTTTCTGGGCCCTTTCAGTAAATCACACACATGCACCCTAGCAATTCTGAAATAGAGAAGCTTCTTGGATAAGAAGCCAATGTTTTCTGAAGTTCACACAGTCGTGTTGCATATTATTTAAGTTTTCAAGATGCTCCACAACAGCACACACATTTAACCACAAATGTAACATTTACTTTCATCAGTGCAATAATACACACATAATTAACATGCAATTCATTTAATGTAACTCCTACATCTACAGAATTTATGCTCTGATGCACATACATCTGTATACTGAGCAATGCAGCTGCTACCTACGTAATAACAAAGCATTTTCGTATTACTGTGTTCACACAAAAACATTGTTCTTCATCATGTCCTCAATAATGGAATACCTACCACTATATATATTTAAAAATTCTTTACCAATAAAACTATCTTCGCGTCACTAGATAATACACCACAACACATGATAACAGTCAAATCAGATCCCGTACAACTTTTTAATTGCCAAACACAAACTTTAAACTTCATTCTCTAATCTAATCCAAATAATTTAAATTCACTACTTTAGTCGTGTTACTATGAAGTAGAATCCACATAATATATGTTTGTGCTTTCCATTTACTTACCGATAAAACCTGAAAACGGAGTCTGATCTCCCTTACGTCGGAGTTTTCAGTAGCACCAGCTGGCAGTTTTACAGGTGATGCCATCTGCAAAAAAAAAAAAAACATGTTTGCAACATTACATCAATAGCACATCATCCATTTAGATAACACTTAAACAATACGGAAATAAATTGTACTTACTGTAGTTTCCACTGTTGTTCCTCGTACGTGCAGCTTCACAGTTCTGCTTTACAGCTACTAAATTGGTGTAGCTTTACAGTTCTGTTTTAAAGACACTGAACTGTTAAGCAGGCACCCCAACCAATCACACACTGCGCTGATGAACACGTCACAATGTAACGGCACTCCGGCCAATCACACACTGCGCTGATGAACACGTCACAATGTAACACACTCCCTTACCTAATGAACATGTGACAATGCAATTGTATACATAGAAATATATATATATATATATATATATTTGCTAACACTTCAACGTCATTACCAGATGCCCACTACAAAACTTTCTGACAGCTTTAATTTTTTCTTTTTTTGTGTATTTCTATGTTCGGTTATTACGGCGTTACAAATAAACCTGTCGGTAGGCTCTTTTGAGGTAGAAACTCTGTAAATCGGCGTTGAAAATGGCAGCGACTTTTCCACTGAGTAAAAGACCGATATTAGACGTCTATCCTAAATGTATGCTTCTTTAATGTCGGGATTCGGGCTGTTTCTAGACGTGATTTATACTTCGCCCTCAATTTCATTTTTTGATAACTTTTTATGCAATAAGCAATTGTCATGTGCATAACTGACGTCCGGATTACATTAGTTATGATACCGTGCAAAGATATCCAGCATTGTTTTGCTTCAATCAATCATGAGGCATAGTGAGGCTGAAGCCTCAGGGCAGGTATTGCCACAGAGGAAAAAGTGCCTAGAAACTAAATGTCGTTGCATTTCAGTTGGGCAACATAGACTGTGATTCATAACATAGCTCTATTGACAGTAAGAACTAAAAAGAAATATCTACTCTTGCCATCTTATCGATTAATAGTAATCAGTGTTTCGGTGTCGAACTAGTTCCTTTGTGCGGTGAGTGATACATGAGCACGCGCAGTCGAATATGCAGAAGGGTGAAGCCATTTCTGTCACGTGGACCAATACGTAGCGAGTCTCGTTTCCATAGTTCACCCAGTATTTTGGCTACAGCTGGTGGCTAGTGGAAAACGTCACATAACCACCCATAACTGCAGTAAATTCGACAAAAGTACCACTAAAAACTGCCATTTTTTTGCGCGTGTGGGATAGGGGGGCTATTAGGTTTGCTTAGTTTAGGGGTTACAGAAGGTATAATCCGGGCCTGAGCATAGTATAGATGTAAAGAGTATTTACACGCATAAATTTATACTCCATTTCAACGTCAGGATTCGGTTTTTTTTAGACGTGATTTAGACGTAAACAATTATACGTCCTTTCAACGTCTACATATAGACCGAAGTCACACAATCAATATTAATCAACAATTCAAGAGTTGATTATTGAAAATGATAACTGGAGGTTGCAGAACTGATTTCGATTTATGGGACTACTTTCATCTTGGGAGCGTAGCCAGTGTTTTCGCCATATCCGGTCAAAACACTAATACGAAACAAACAAAAACACACCCACCTTCAGATCTTAAAGCCTGGGTCTCATTGAGTATTTCACAAGAAAATTGGTCGCTGAAATTTAATGTAAGTATTAGATTTCATGTGGTTTATCAGTGTCGGTAACGCCGATTGACTCTGTGACAATAACACAGGATCACATGAGCCCTTTCACGTGCCTATTCACGTGATCCTCCGTGTAACCACTTAGAGTAAGGTCTAATTCCGCCAAGAGCGAACTAGTCCGTGATAACAGTTGTCGGTATAACAGCAATACTACGAAATGAGCTACAATAAAGTATTTAGTAGCTCTGCAACAGCCCGGCTTTACACCTGTATTGACATTGTACCGTAATCGGACTAAAACATGTAAAAGGCTTCAAATTCTGGACCGCACAACATCCTACTGAATCACTGCGCTTTGTTCACATTCGCCCTCACTACCATGCAAAACTCCTATTTTGTTCGAACAAAACTGAATAATATGCGTAATTCTTCCTCTGCATATTGCAGGGCTTGTTGGTACAACTTCTGTTACATATTTAAGCTTTTTCTCAAACATTAATCAATGAAAACATCAGCTACAGCACTCATTTTCATGTGCAAAGTAGAGCCGCCGCCATTTTGTTCAATGTGCTTGTGCTAGGCGTCTCCTCGCTTAGCAACTGTATCTATGGAGGAGAGGGAGGGCTGGGTGGAGCCCGCCGAATGGTGTTCTGTTATTATTGGCTCTGACTGTAACCTCAGTCGCAAGTCATTAAATCCAGCTTTTCGATTGGTCGAGCTCCTCTTTATTTTCCAGTATTTTTGTCGCTCACTTCGTCTGACTGATCTTTTGAGGATAACAGACTACCTTCGACAGAGAGCGAGTTTTACGAGCAGATCTGTTTTTGAAGATTTTTTACACGCTTCACCGATACACATCTACATATACACATCTTCCACTACATCTTTCACATTTAACAAACACACACACACACACACACACAACACACAAATTCTCACGGTCAACCTCGGCTGAGTTTGACTGTCTTTTATTCCACCTATCCACGGAACGGCTGCTCATCTCGTCTGTTACAACTTCAGTACGGTAAGTCATGTGTTATCAGCTTATTTGTTGTGTTTTGCTGTTGTTGAGGGAGAAGTTTTGCTCAAACATGCAGCTAAAAAAACTGTTGTGGCTAAGATAGGCGTGCTGAGTTGTTTACACAGGGCCGCTAACAAAGTAGCTAGTGTGCTACTCTGTTAGCGGCCCTGTGTAAACACCAAGCTAGTTGTAACTTCGTTATTCTGTGACTTCACTGCACTCTCGGAGATCACAATGTAGCATTTTGTGGTGGTGGCGGAAGTGTATTGTGTTGTTTCGCGTTCTTTGTCCGCATCGCAGAGGGGCTATTGTCTGATTTTGCGGTCTGTGTCCACATTGCAGTGCAATTATTGTCTTGTTTCGCTGTCTGCGTCGGCATCGCAGAGGGGCTCTTGTCTGGTTTTGCGGTCCGTGTCTGTGTTTTTGGGTTTATTTGTCGTATTTTGCATGCTAACCAAACTGTTGTGGCTAACTAGGCGTGCTGATGTGATGTTTACACAGCGACGCTAACAAAGTAGCTAGTGTGCAACACTGTTAGCGGCGCTGTGTAAACAGTAAGCTAGTTGTAACTTCGTTATTCTGTGACTTCACTAAATTCTTGGAAATCATAATTTAGCATTTGACGGCGGTGGTAGTCTATTTTCTTGATTCGCTTTCTGTGTCTGCATCGCAGACGGGCTCTTTTCTGGTTTTGAAATCTGTGTCGACATTGCAATGCAATATTTTTCTTGTTTTGCTGTCTGCGTCGGCATCGCTGAGGGGCTATTGTCTGGTTTTGCGATCTGTGTCTGTGTTTTTAGGTTTATTGTGGTGTTTTGCTGTTGTTGAGGGAGAAATTCTGCTTAAACATGCATGCTAACCAAACTGTTGTGGCTAACTAGGTGTGCTGATTTGATGTTTACACAGCGACGCTAACAAAGTAGCTAGTGTGCAACACTGTTAGCGGCGCTGTGTTAAGCCAGTTGTAACTTCGTTATTCTGTGACTTCACTAAATTCTTGGAAATCATAATTTAGCATTCGACGGTAGTGGTGGTAGTCTATTTTCTTGATTCGCGTTCTGTGTCTGCATCGCAGACGGGCTCTTTTCTGGTTTTGAAATCTGTGTCGACATTGCAATGCAATATTTTCTTGTTTCGCTGTCTGCGTCGGCATCGCTGAGAGGCTATTGTGTGGTTTTGCGATCTGTGTCTGTGTTTTTAGGTTTATTGTGGTGTTTTGCTGTTGTTGAGGGGGAACTTCTGCTTAAACATGCATGCTAACCAAACTGTTGTGGCTAACTAGGTGTGCTGATTTGATGTTTACACAGCGACGCTAACAAAGTAGCTAGTGTGCAACACTGTTAGCGGCGCTGTGTAAACATTAAACCAGTTGTAACTTCGTTATTCTGTGACTTCACTAAATTCTTGGAAATCATAATTTAGCATTCGACGGTAGTGGTGGTAGTCTATTTTCTTGATTCGCGTTCTGTGTCTGCATCGCAGACGGGCTCTTTTCTGCTTTTGAAATCTGAATCGACATTGCAGTGCAATTATTTTCTTGTTTCGCTGTCTGCGTCGGCATCGCAGAGGGGCTATTGTCTGGTTTTGCGATCTGTGTCTTTAGATTTATTGTGGTGTTTTGCCGTTGTTGAGGGAGAACTTCTGCTTAAACATGCATGCTAAACAAACTGCTGTGGCTAACATAGGCGTGCTGATTTGATGTTTAAACAGCGACGCTAACAAAGTTGCTAGTGTGCAACACTGTTAGCGGCGCTTTGTAAACAGTAAGCTAGTTGTAACTTCGTCATTCTGTGACTTCACTAAATTCTTGGAAATCATAATTTAGCATTTGACGGTGGTGGTGGTATTTCATTTTCTTGATTCGCGTTCTGTGTCTGCATCGCAGACGGGCTCTTTTCTGGTTTAGCGGTGCAATTACTTTCTTGTTTTGCTGTCTGCGTTGGCATAGCAGAGGGGCTATTGTCTGGTTTTGCGATCTGTATCTGTGTTTTTAGGATTGTTGTGGTGTTTCGCTGTTGTTGAAGGAGAATTTCTGCTTAAACATGCATGCTATCAAAACTGTTGTGGCTAACACAGGGGTGCTGATTTGTTGCTACACAGCGCCGCTAACAAAGTAGCTAGTGTGCAACACTGTTAGCGGCGCTGTGAAAACAGTAAGCTAGTTGTAACTTCGTTATTCTGTGACTTCACTAAATTCTTGGAAATCATAATTTAGCATTTGACGGTGGTGGTGGTAGTCTATTCTCTTGATTCGCGTTCTGTGTCTGCATCGCAGACGAGCTCTTTTCAAGTTTTGAAATCTGTGTCGACATTGCAATGCAATATTTTTCTTGATTCGCAGACGGGCTATTTTCTGGTTTTGCGGTGCAATTATTTTATGTTTTGCTGTCTGCGTTGGCATAGCAGACGGGCTATTTTCTGGTTTTGCGGTGCAATTATTTTATGTTTTGCTGTCTGCGTTGGCATAGCAGAGGGGCTATTGTCTGGTTTTGCGATCTGTATCTGTGTTTTTAGGATTATTGTGGTGTTTCGCTGTTGTTGAAGGAGAATTTCTGCTTAAACATGCATGCTAGGAAAACTGTTGTGGCTAACATAGGCGTTCTGATTTGATGTCTACACAGCGTCGCTAACAAAGTAGCTAGTGTGCAACCAAAATGTGTTAGCCTCACTGTTTAGTTATTCTCTCTGTATTTTTTGGTGCTTATATAACATAACACACATGTTTAAATTTTGATATGAAGTTTTACAAATATAATAGGTATTATATGTATTATCTATACTTTCAGATGCCAAAAGTGAAGGGTTGGCGTCGATCACAGGCCGCAACCAGGCGCCGCGCTCAGCGCGAGTTCCTGATTGTTGGTCCACAAGGCCACAGTGATGACGTGCCTACAGGTGTGTAACATTTTCTTTTAAATGTATCATTTTTTCTTCACGCACTATATTGCAAACAGTTTCTTATTTCTTTGTATCTTGGAAAAACACATACAAATCAGGTTTACTGTTTACATTTTACAATAATACATGTCAATGTTATCTGTTTAATAGGCACTGTCGGGACTGGTTATCGCCATCGTGTTAACCAGTGGCCAATATCTGTGTTGACTGGTCGGCAACACAAATTGGTCATTCCTCCTGAGGTTCCTGACAAGAAGGCATGAAACTGACATTATTTTTTACCCTCACAACACATATTTCAGCTGATACAGTATTTAATTAGTACTTCTCCCTTTTTCATCCTAGTTTGTTCTTATCGTTGGTGACTCTCACCTGCGCCCGTTTGCTGATGGGGTTGTGCCATTGCCTGAAGGACGGATGTCCTTTGGGTTCATGTCCACACCAGGGGCCTGCGCTGATGGACTGAGGACTGAGATGGTACATGCTGCTGTGCCTCGCAATCCTGACTTGGTCATTGTCATGGCTCCTAGCAACAACCTTACAACCCAAGGGTCTCTTGAGAAGTCGTCAACAGATTTTGCTAAACTTCTCTCCACTGCCGTTGGAAGGTGGTTCAAGGTGGGGCTATGATGTCATTAACACATTTTGTAGTATCTCAATTATGGTTATGCTCAGTAATAACTCTTGTGTTTTTTGTCCTTCTGGTGTGTTTGCTATTTTTATAGGTAATTGTGTATGACTTTCCACCTCGGCTGAACCACCCTTTGGATCATCAGGAGCTGCTGCGGCAGGAATTCCGTCGAGTTGCAGCACGTATGGGTACGTTTTACAACACTTTAAATTCGCCTTCATGACAAAATTCTAAATGACAATATCATCATAAAACCAATCATATAAAACATCTACAGCAAACCCAAACAAATTACATGTATTTTTTAGAGTAACTCACAACTCTGTACATTTTATGGACACAGTGAAAGAATAATTGTCTTTTCTGTTTGTGGTAAAATACACAAATTTGTACTAATGCTTCACTTTGTCTCACTTTACATTAACAGGCATTCGATATGTTTGCCCTGCTGCTGATGACTTCCCCCTGAGACGCCTTAAGCTGTGGTGCAGGGATTCTGTTAGTACAATCCCTACTCATCTGATGTTTCATATGGACTTCATAATAAATGCACACATTTTTGCATCATGCAAATTTGTGATCATGAAAATTGTCTTGTCTTCTATATAGGTCCATCTCAGTGATGATGGTGGGTCGCCTATTCTGGGGCAGCGTCTCTGGCAGGCGGCGTACACTGAACTGGATAGAGGTGATCCTGCATCAGTGCTGTCAGTGCAGCGCAGGCGCTCGCCCCCCTGAGCACTGTCACACCAAAGGTGGTTGTGAGGGGAGAGGTACCTGCACCTCAACCATCCAACGCCTTTGAGTGGACAGTGTGTGGAAAGGTGCACAAGGTAAACATAATTCCTGTGTGTCTATATACATATAGTATATGTATTTAATACAGTATTGTTAATTTTCAACTTACTTATCACAGCAGAATCTCTCTGGCAACGAGGTGGAGGACTCTGCTCCATGCACTCAGCAGGTTTGACATCCTTTATACAACACAACTATCATCACAATTTCTGTATGGATTACACACATTTTCTTTGAGAAGAAACCCTTTTCTAAATTATTACTTTATTTATTCTATTTTTTTTTCTCTCCCTCCATCCTAGTTGTCAACAGTTGGGTTGCGAGACTGTTTTGTGCGTCTCAACCCTATCCATTTCAGTCCACACCTGCTGGATGCCATGGAGAAGATTTCGCCATCCCAGCTTCCCAACCCTGTTCCACAAGATGATGAGGTCAGTGAAAATGTCACACTACAGCAGCACTTTGATTGTTCATTCATAATATGTTTTGTGTTGCACAACAACAATGCTTAGAAGAAATATTGTTTTATTCAGATGCCACGTGTGGAACCACGCAGGACTGTGGTTGCATCTCGGAGGATCCCTACCAGGAAGCAGGTTTGTTTCTTCATTGGCACACATGGTGTATTAATATGCAAGCACGCAGAGCTAGGTTTGCATCTAAACCAAGTTTATCATACAGAACGGAATAATAACATTGAGAAATTTTACTTGGCCCTTAATTTCAAAAAATGTTTTTTCTTAATTCATACACAAATAGGATGTTTAGTATCATCAGTTAATGATTCTTTCTTCAACTATAAAAGTACAGTTTTTTCAATTTGACCTTTTTATCAATGACAATATATTATACACAAACTTTTGTGTGCAGGGAAGGGCCTTGCGTGTCCAGAGCCCAGCTGAGCTGCAGACAACTGAGGTGCCTCCTGCTACAGAACTCACTTCACCTGAGGTGGGCTTGGAGAGGGTGGCAGAGCTCCAGACGTGCCAGGGCGTGGTGACGGTGGACACTGCCATCCTGTCAGCACCCCAGCCAGATGGAGGCACCCAGGTGGAACAGGTAAGTATGCATAAACATCTTCCTCACCCCCCTCTTGTGTTTGGTGATTTTGATCGCTCACCTGTGCAGTTTAGCAGTATGGAGACTGAGGCAGTACAGTTTCTGTGCACTGAGATTGAGAGTGAGATGTCTGACCCAGGTTGGGTAAGAGACAGTATCCAAGGATCATTTCACCAGGGAAGTGATTTATTAAGTAATCACGGAACACAGTGTATGGCAATTGGGCTGGCCAGCGTTGCCAAACACAGTGTCAAAAGCGTTTTCTCGTGGAGTGTGGCTGATCTCGACACAGTTTTGCTCTGTGGGGATCAACTGTACACATATCTGAGAGATAATGACAAAATCAGTGGCGGTTCTGATTTTTTGTGTATTCCTGATTTGCCTGCTTCACACACAATTGATGGCATGGAGTTTGACTTTGAGTATGGTGATTACATGTCTGGACTCATCAACCAGACTGATGGATCACCCATTGCACCTGGGTTGACAACATTGCTGCATAGTCTACAAATTCTGTTTGCCAAATATGACACATGCTTTTTGACATTGCATTGCAGCACATGTGTTGTCATTCATGAGAATAATATGTTTGCTGTTGTTGATTCTCATGCTCGAAATGCTTTGGGCCTGGTGGATCCTGATGGCAGAAGTGTTGTTGCATATTTCCATAACTTGCAGGAACTGTATACACATGCATTAGCCTTGGCTGCATCACAGCATGTGAGCAACCAGGCTTTTGAAGTTGCTGGTGTGCGTGCAATCCCCAGAATGTCAGCAATTGAAAGTATGTGTTTGCCATCCAGCTCAAGAGTACATACTGAAATACTGAGCAAAATGAAGAGTGTCTATGCAGATGTACAGCAGGAAGTGTCACACTCCAAGCAGGGGTGTTCATCCAGTACATCAGTACATAGGAAGCAAGGCTTGAAACGTCAACGCTTTGTGCACGCTCCTGCTGCCAAGAGAGCAAAGACGAACAATTTTGGTGATGATGTATTCATTGTTAAAGACACAAACAACACGAGTGCAAATAATAGTAATGATGTTGTGTGCATTGATGATGCAATAAGCCAGACTGACGACGATGTGATGTGTGTTGGTAATGGAGCCCAACAAGATTTAGTGTTTAACCCCCTTCAGTTAGAGGTTGCCAAAGTTTTGTGCAACACTTTAGGGATAGAATGTCAGAAAGTTGATGTGGAAGGATTTGTAGCAGGCATATTAGGACCTCCATGCAAGAAGCAGCCTATTGTCGGCGATGGCAATTGCTTCTTCAGAGCTGTGAGTCATGTTTTGTCTGGTAGTGAGAAGTTTCACAGGAAAGTCAGGTTGGCAGTTTGTAAACACATTGAATGTCATCCTGGATCATATGAGCACATTCTGAGAAATGAATTTACCTCTGTCAAAGAATATGTTCACATGTCCAGAATGCGATATGTGGGTAGTTGGGCCACAGAAGTGGAGATTCAGGCTGCAGCAGATTGTTTCGGGGTTAGCATTTTTACCTACATTGACAATCGATGGCTTCAATACAGCTGTCAAGGTCGACAATTATCAGAACAGGCAGTGTATTTGGAGAACTGTAATAACATCCATTATGAGGCTGTTGTCTGTGTTCGACAACCTAATGTGGACTGTGATTGCTGTGATTTCTGTAAAGGTGCTGTTGCACATAGTACCAACTATGGTTTGACACAGGTGAGCAAAGATGCGCCATATAACCTCAGGACAGGATGTCAGGACTTCAAGCAACAGAGTCATCACATTTTAAGTCCTTCACATCATGAAAAAAGGTTGTCAAAATATCTTAAAAAGAAGAAGTTTTTGCAAATGAAAATTAACTACCACAAAAACTTCTTGGATTACAACAGACGTAACCAACATGTTAGGAATAGATATAAGCACAATCTGTTGTATCAACAGAAACTCAAGGCTTTAAGTAAGGTCAAATACTTAGATGAGGTGCACAAAGAAGATGTTAAAAACAGAATCAAAATTAAGTATAGAGACGATGATACCCACAGACAAATTGTTAAAAATAGAAGCAAGGACAGGAGCAACATTAAATATAGGGACGATCATACCCACAGAGAAATTGTTAAAAACAGAAGCAAGGACAGAAGCAAAAGTAAATATAGGGACGATAATACCCACAGACAAATTACTAAAGACAGAAGCAGGGAAATAAGTAAGGTTAAATATGGAAAAGCTGCATTTAGACAGACAAAAATAAACTTAGTAAAGACAAATTACCACCAGAACCCAGAACACTTCCTTGCATCTAAGAAACTTAGAATATTAAAAAGGAAGGCAAAACTAGAACAGATGGACTTTGTAATTGAGCAGTTTTTGGAAAAAATCAAAGATGGGCCAGCATTTGTGTGCAGTGTGTGCCATAGACTGTTGTTTAAACACCAGGTTTCGCGTTGTAAGCTAGACAAGTACAGTAGCAATACAAAGACAGCTGGTGTCGCAGCTAGATGTATTAAAGATGTGTATGTGCATAAATGTATGTCTTCTTGTGCCGTACCATGTGTTTTGAAAGCTTCCCCTCGTGGTAGTTTGTGGATTTGTCATTCATGTCATGGCAAGGTCAGTAAAGGTGACGAGCCAGCTGAGAGCGCATCCAATAATCTGACCGTTGATCCAATTCCACCTGAGTTGGCTTGTTTAAATCGCCTAGAGTCGCATTTAATTGCACTCCATATCCCCTTTTTGAAGATGGTAGCTCTTCCTAGAGGTGGTCAAAATGGTGTTCATGGGCCGATTGCATGTGTTCCAGCCAACATTGTCCAAACCAGTAACGCGTTGCCACGTTCAAACATGGAAGGTTCAGTTATTCCCGTTAAACTGAAGCGCAAGCTTACTTATAAAGGACATTATGCATACGAGTATGTTGACCCTATGCATATCAAGAAAGCACTGCATTATCTGAAAGAGAACAATCCGTTCTACAAAGATGTGCAATTCAATGATGACTGGATAAATGAATTTTGCAGGGATGAGAGTGCTGACAAACAGCAGCAGAGTATTGTTGATGAACAGGGAGGATCAAATGCAGAGAGCTCTGAGGCATCTGCAGCTGAGGCAGCTGCAGCTGAGGAAGAACTTCTGCATGATCGGCAGCAGCATTGCATGTTTCAAGACACATGCTCAATGCCTGTTGATATTGGCCAGGAAGCGCTGGACCAATATTTTGATGGTGTTTTGAACTTGGCTCCAGCTGATGGACAGAACCCTGTGAAGGTTTTGACAACAAAGGAGAACGAGGCCAAGTGTTTCCCTGTGTTGTTTCCAAAAGGCCGTGGAACATTTTTTGATAATAGAAAATTTTCTCTGACTCTGTTCCGCTATTTGAGCAACAGGCTATATCATGCTGATGGTAGGTTTGCGCAGAATATTGAGTTTATTTTTTATGCTTGTTACATGCTTGAGTTACACCAAGTCATGTCCAGTGTGTCAATTGCGTTGAGAAAAGGGAAAGCCAGTAAGGTCAGAACAAAGATTAGTGATGTATTGAAAGATGAAGACAACCTGCGTGACCTTTTAAATCATGATGATGGGTACCGGTTTTTAAAACCTGTAAGGGGTACTCCAGCATTTTGGCAGGGAATTCAGAAGGATTTGTTAGCATGCTTGCGACAGCTTGGCAAACCTGCATGGTTTTGTTCATTTTCTGCAGCAGATTTGAGGTGGAAGGAATATTTAGAGAACATTCTTAGGGCAGAGGGGCGAGCACAGACATTTGAGGACCTGGAGTGGGCAGACAAGTGCGACCTGTTGCGTCGTAATCCTGTACTCGCCGCTCGCATGTTTGATTATCGCTGGCATCTGTTTTTGAAAGAGGTGTTGATGTCTCCAGCAAATCCAATTGGCAAAATCCTCGACTACTTTTACAGGGTGGAGTTCCAGCAGCGTGGCTCTCCACACGTTCATTGTCTGTTTTGGATTGAGAATGCCCCTGTAATTGATGTAAACACAGATGATGAGGTTGTTCAGTTTATTGATAGATATGTTTCATGTGAACTACCTAACAACACTGACGATTTACATGAGGTTGTTTCTTCAGTGCAGCAGCATTCAAAGCAGCACTCCAAAACTTGTAAAAAAGGTGGAAAACAGTGCCGCTTCAATTTCCCAAAACCAGTGTCTGCTAGGACTTTCATTTCCAGGGCATATAAGGAGGTTGAGATGGAGTGCGTGTGTCAGCGCAACGTCCATAACATAGTAGAACAGTGCACTTGTGGCAAGGAAGAAAATGAGAAGAAGCACAAGCAGGAAGGGGAATTTGCTGTTAAGGTTTTTGAATTAATAGCTAAAGCGTTGTCAGACGAGAACTGCACAATTCAAACTGCAGATGAGCTATTTGCGAGTATAGGTATACGACAGGAGACATTTGAGGCAGCATACAGGAGGTTAGGGAAAAAGACAGAGGTGATTATGCGACGGCAGGTTACTGATACGTGGATCAACCCACATTCCAAGACTCTGTTAAAAGCTTGGAATGCAAACATGGACATCCAGTATGTGACTGATGCTTATGCTTGTGTAGTTTACATCATTTCATACATCTCTAAAGCAGAAAGACAGATGGGATTGATGTTAGCAAATGCACAGCGTGAAGCATCTAAGGAAGACAACCTCAGTGCCAAACAGGCTTTGAACAGGCTAGGAAGTGTTTACCTTCACAACCGAGATGTTGGAGCTCAGGAGGCAGTCTACAAGCTCAGCAACATGCACTTAAAAGAGTGCTCTCGGAAGGTGGTTTTTGTACCGACAGGTGACAATGTTGTCAGGATCAGCAAGCCATTGACTGTGTTAAAAGACATGGCTGCTGAATCCACAGAACAGATGTGGATGATCAACTTTGTTGACCGTTATAAAAACAGACCCAGAGATCATATATTTGAAGCCATGTGCCTTGTCCACTTTGCTGCTTAGTATCGTGTGCTCTACAAAGGTGAAAAATCAAAAAAACGAATTGAACTTGATAACGGCTGTGGGTCTGTGTTGAGAAGAACCCGTACGCAGCCTGCTGTTGTAAGGTACGCAAGATTCTCTGAGACTAAAAGTCCAGAGTTATTTCACCAAAGCATTTTGCAGCTGTTTCTTCCGTATCGTACAGAGGAACAGCTAAAGCCAGAGGGATTTGTCACTTTTGAAGACTTTTACAAAACTGGCCGTGTCATCATTGCTGATGGACAGCTACGTTCAGTGAAGTCAGTTGTGGACTCAAATCGCTGCAATTATGAAATAGATGCTGATGACTTAGATGAGGTTTTGGATTCTGTAAATTTTGATGGTCCTCTAGAAGATGCGTGGGGGCAATTGTTCCCACAGCAAGAAACTGAACGCCTGGAGTCAATCCAGGAACGGGCAGAGCAGATAGAGGTAGACAATAACCCAGTGGAACATATTCCTGATCTGGCTGGGGGTATAGAGCAGGCTAAGGTAACTAAGTGCAACAATTTAAGTAGAAGCGAGGGATTGGCATTATGCAGGTCTTTAAATGATGACCAGATGCGTGTGTTAAACAAGGTCCATCAGTGGTGCGTTGTTAAAGCAGCAGGTAGAAACCCAGACCCCTTTTATGTGTTTGTAACAGGTGGTGCTGGCGTTGGAAAATCGCATTTAATCAGAGCGATTCAATACGAGGCCACAAGGTTATTGTCACCAATGTGTCGACAACCTGACAATATCAGTATTTTGTTGACTGCACCAACAGGGATTGCTGCATATAATCTGCATGCAACCACCCTGCACAGTACATTTAGCATAGGGAAAGATGTTCGCCTCCCTTATGTGCCAATAGGTGAAGAAAAGCTAAACACATTGAGAATGAAATATTGTGATCTCCAAATCTTGATAATTGATGAAATTTCTATGGTGGATCACAATATGCTCACTTATGTGCACGGGCGACTTCGCCAAATTAAACAGACAGGCATTCACACTCCATTTGGAAATGTGAGCGTCATGGCAGTGGGGGATTTTTATCAGTTGCCTCCAGTGAAAGGAAAACCGTTATACATGGAACCACTTGGAGTTGATCTTTGGAGCACTCATTTTAAGGTTGTCAAGTTGACAAAAGTAATTCGGCAGACAGACAAAGATTTTGCCGGACTACTGAATCGAGTTCGGACGCATCCAAAAGACTCAGACATGTTGCAAAGTGATATCACCACTTTGAAACAGCGAGAAACTGGCGAAGAATGCTCAGGTTTGCATATATTTGCCACAAATAGCCAGGTCAATGAGCACAACTTTGAGCAGCTGCAAAGAACATGTCCAGATTACCATGTAATACAGGCTCAGGATTATATAAACAACTCAAAAACAGGCAAACTGGAATTGAAAAAAGGCTATCATACACTAACATATAACACTTGTTTAGATGCAAAATTGTTATTGGGTACTGGCTCTCGTGTCATGTTGACAAAAAATTTAGATTTGGCTGACGGCTTGGTTAATGGTGCATGTGGCACAGTAACAGATGTAGTTTGTGTTGAAAATGAAAAGTTTCCTCAGTGTATTTTTGTGAAATTTGATGATGAAGTAGTTGGTGTTGAGAGGAGGAAACAGTCAGGAAGGGTGTCAGATCATCTTGTTGGTTCCACGGCTATTACACCGGAGGAAGAAAGAGTGACAAAGAAGGGAGGTATGCGCCGTCAATTTCCGCTTCGTCTCGCCTGGGCCTGTACTGTACACAAAGTACAAGGCCTCACAGTTGATACAGCCATAGTCAGTATGAAAAAGGTGTTTTCTGCTGGTCAGGCTTACGTGGCTTTAAGTCGTGTCAGGACTCTTATGGGATTGATCATTCAAGATTTCAATCCCAAAAAAATCTATTGTCGGCCAGAAATCGCTCAGGCCACTTCAAGGATGGCTTCGTTCCTAGAACCTATCACCTGGCAAGGGAGAGTGGAGGACACTTTGACAGTGTTC